GAGATTGAGGTGAGATCTGAGGAAGAAATTCTTCGCTCGGAGGGTGGTGATCCCCTGGGGCAGGTTGCCCTGAGAAGCTGTGGCTGCCCCATCCCTGGAGGTGTTCAAGGCCAGGTTGGACGGGGCTTGGAGCAACCTGGGCTGGGGGGAGGTGTCTGGGGATTGGAAGTAGATGATCTTAAGGGTCCCTTCCAACCTAAACCATTCTAATATTCTCTGACTCATAGAATGATTTAGGTTGGAGGGATCTTTGGAGGTCATCTGGTCCAAACATGACTCAGAGCAGGGCTCGCTTCAAATTGCACAAGGTGTCCTGTGGAGTTTTGAGCATCACTATGGATGGAAACATCCTTGAAAGAACCGCGGGTAGGGAAATAGGAAAGCCGTTACTCGTCTCGCCGCCTTTTACCGAAAGCCTGTGGTCTGTTGCAGCTATCGATGTCACTTACTTGCTGGAGGAAGGATCAGGAAGAAAACTGAGGCGGCGCACTCTCACCATCCCGGAGAGCAGCTTCAGGAAGTGATGCCACGAGAGGAAGCTGCGGTCTGGAGTCTGCTACAAGGTCTGCTGAGGACTGAGGGCAGGAGCCCAACTTCCTCTGCACCAGCCAAGGAAAAGAGAGCAGCAGAAAACTGACAAATATACAAACAGTTAGCACTTAGATGTCTGGGTTGGCAGGTTGCCCTGCCCTGCTCTGCAGTGCTCTTATGGTGTGTGTGTTGTTGGGCGTGCCTTGTATTGATGTTAGGTACTGAGAAAAACCTCGTGGTTATTGTCCAGGATGGTCAAATTTAATTTATTTTTGCTTGATATTCCCACTCAGAGGAGGAGAAAAAAAAAAAAAAGGAAAAAAAAAAAAAGATTACAAAATGGGGAGGTAAGAAGGATAAGGACTGGCTTACTCTGATGAGAATATTCCCCATGTTCACCAATTAACCTGTGATTGTACAAGATGCTGTCGGCACCACCGTGGCCCATGGCAGTGAACGAAAAGCAGATGGGAGGGTGAAGGCCCAGTGGCTTAAAATAAAAGGCTGCCCTAAAGTTGTGGCCTCTTGATTTGCACAAGTTCCGAGAAGAGAGAAACGTACCCAAACGTGCGAAAGGTTCACCGCGGAACGGCCGGTGCACACGTGTACCTTCGGTCTGTGACAAGGAGAAACTTCCAAAGTCACCTTGGAGCAAAGCAGGAGTCGGCTGGTTGAGGCACTTGTTCTGCGTCGGAGGGGAGGGGGGGAGGGAGCGGGGCGTGATTTTTTTCACTTTTTTCTGCAGAGAAATTTTATAAAGCAAGTCAAATCCTGACAACACCATTGCTGTTGGTTTTTTTGATAAGCCGTGGTTCTTGTGTGTCTAGTGTGTTGTGCAAATTAAAATCTGTTAAAAGAAAAAGCAAAAGGAAAAAAAAAAAAAAAAGAAAAAAAAAGGAAACCTTCACTACATGAACCGTCAAGCAGTATTCAGAGCGAGTATTTGTTGTGAACTGTAGAATATATCAACTGCTAACACTATTCTTGTGTTCTGGTTGTACAGCTTAAAATGTCCGTCTCTTAAATTAAGAGACAGCGTATCTGGCACCGCCCTCTCTCTCTGCCCTGACGAAAAGTATTATTCCCGAAAGCAACAGCCGAGGCACTGATTTCTCACCGCAGGAAATTGCCATTGCCGTGGCGTACCCCGAAGCGGGGCTGCGGCAGGACCTGCCCCCCCGCGACCTTCCCGGCCTGCGGAGCCACGGAGCTGTGGCAAAGGGAGGGGGTGGTCGGCGTACGCTGCCCCTTAAAATGGCTTTGCTTTTTTGTCTTTCAGACGTACATATGCATATACAGTCCTGTTTTAGATGTTCTTATAAGGAAAACAGTTTTTAATGTGCCAAGTTGTATATATCTGCTGCGTGGATGTAAAGCAATACAGTAGTTACATGTTCCTTTTTAATGGACCAAGCTTGTCCTAATGTACATTCTTGTTATTATTATAATTATTTTACTCTTAGTGGAACATGACTCATTCCATTAACTTTTATGTGTTGATTTAAAAAGAAAAAAAAAAAAAAAAGAAAGGAAAAAACCCTTTGAGAAAAAAAAAATATTTTATTAAAAAAAAAAAAGAAATAAGAAAATAGTTTGGAATATTTTCTTACTGTAGAGAAGCACTGTACAGTACAAGGAACCCTGAGTATAAAATACTCGTGCGTGTAGTAGGAATATCGCATGTCCAAAATCTTGAGTTGTCTCATTTAGTTTAAAACAGAAATCATTGTCTCAAATGGTGTTAAACACTAAAAAGTTTTTAAAAAAATAAAGTGCGTACAGAAGCGAGACACTAGCTCTGTCATTTTATCTTTCTTTTGTTGAAAGACTAAACAAAATGTTTTTTAGACAATCAAATGTTAGGTAAGTGCAAAGAATTGTTTTTCTTACTGGTGTAGAAATTAATGACTTTTTTTATTTTTCGGTTATTTTATAATAATGAGAAGACCAGTGTGTCACCAGGATCGCTGTTTTAAGACCAGGAAGCACTACATTATTGCAAATAGATATGAACTCTTAGTCTGCATGGGTGTAGGCTGTGTGATTGCTGAAAATAAATGCTGCTAATATATTTCCTTTTTACAAAGCATATCTAAATAGATCATTGTTTTGATGTTAATCTTTGTAAATTATGTATTACCAATTTTAACATTGGATGTAATTGCATAAAAAGCCTGCATCTCAATCCTGAGAGAGTCTAGTATTAAATGGAAAATCTTTTCCTATCGATGACTTGTGGGGTTTTCTTTGACATGTCTCGGCTCTTCTTTTCTCGCCTCTTTGTCTCAACCGCTCCTCTCGTGTTCTGACTCTCTTACAGCCGCTGCTCCGGGCGGTCTCGCCCCGGCTCTTTCAGATGTGCCGCATAGGGGATGGCGTTTCGCGAGGGTTTCGTGTGATGCTGCCGGTTCTCCTGGTCAGAGCTTGGCAGGAGGGACGATGGCAGCGCGCGTACGGAGAGACGGGAGCATCAGCGCAGGCGTTCCCCGGTTGGCAGTCAGATCCGTACAGGAACCATTAAATCGACAACTGTGGTGCCTGTTCCCAGAACATAAACCCCCCGGTTCCTCGAGACGTCGCCTCCCACGCCTGCGTAGACAGCAGGTTTGGTTCTCAGCGTCGTTACTGCATCACGGGGGCTGTGCACTTACCAGCGCCGATACTGGACCGGAATCCCATCAGTGCTGCGCGCTGCGGGGTGCGTTCCCTCCCTCCCCAAAAGGTCAGGGCCGCCAGAACGGCTCGGAGGCGTTTGGGATTGCTGGGAGCTGTTGGCCCCATCGCGCACCGTTGTTCTGCCCTCTGGCACGCGGCAGCACACGCAGAGCTTTTTGTCCCTGCCGACCAGCCTGCAGCTTCTTCGAGCCTGGCGTTTCCTCCAATAGCCTCTGTGGGCACTAATGAGATTTGGTCCTTACAAACCTTTCAGGATTTAAATTTCTTCTGGTTCAAAAGCGGTTTCTGGGAATAAGTTTGGTAACTATTTGCGTTAGTCACTCGGGGAATGAAACAGCTTCTCAATGACACACGCGCACCCCCCCTTTAATGTAACTTGATTTTTATTTTTCCATTTCCTAGCCTGAATCTCTGTGGTCGTTAAAATGCCGTGCTTGACCCGTACACTTGTCGTCCTTTTGAACTAGCGCCACCATGGCGAGGATTGTAGTGCGCTTTTTTTTTATTAAAAAAGGTTGAAAAGGTACCTGGATTCAGGTCCTGCTGACGTGACCCCGTTTGAAAGTCCAGAGGCAGCTGTGGAATGCAATCAACCCTACTTAAGGCAAGCCGAATAACCTTCCGATTAAGCTATAATGTCCCTTGTCTGGGAGTAAAAATTCCAGCGAGAGAAATGAAAATGGGAACAGAGTAGTGGTGGTGTCCCCGAAGCAGAACGCAGCCCGTTGGCTGAAGCGGGGGACACCGTGGCCACTAAAAGGCTGAACGGTGGGGCTGAGGCCAGAGGAGAGGGCACGTGCCCAAACGGCGCCCGTAGGACGGGCTGCCATCGCCTGGTGGCCCTTCGCTGGATGCTCTCCAGTGCATCCGCCTCTCTCTTCTACCGGGGAGCCCAGTAGGAAATGTAAACGGTGTGGGATGTCACCGCAAGCCATGAGAAAAACTTGAAAAAAAACCCAACCACAAGCCGTCCCGCCCCCTACTGAAATCCTGTGACTCAGTAAAAGGATTAGTTTGATTTAAATAAACAAACCAACCAACCAACTTGAACCTTTACCAGTATAAAGGTACCGGGGCCGGTTACCGGCCGGCGTGATGCACGCTTTGCCAGGGTTATTTCTGGCTCGGGCTCTCCGCACCTCCTGAACGTGGCTGCGCTCCGCGGGCAGTATCTGACCTCGGGGTGCTGAGCACAGCCCCGGCACCCGCTGCCGTCTCCCGCAAGAGCATTTTACCATTTTCCCCCCCGCCCCCCCGAGCCGGTGGGGGGGGGAAGGCCATTTCCAGCACCTCCTCAACGATCCACTCACACGTGCGGATCCATGAGTCACAACCTTTATTTCCAGCTTTTTTTCCCCCCTCCCGGAATAAGCTTATTCCCGTGGTTACAACTATTTACAGAGTGCTGGGACTGCGCAGCGGCAACTGGGACCGGGCTGGGCCACCAGCCGCAGGGCAGAGCAGGGCACGTGGAGGTGGCAGCGGTGGCAGGACATGACAGCACAGAGACATGGGGACTGCGAGTATGAGTACGGCGCAGGGACGGGGCTCTTCCCTCCCCCCGGCACAGGCGTGGGCAGCAGTTGAGGAAACACGAGCGAGCGCGGTTCCCGAACAGGAGCCGCGGTGAAGTGG